CTTGCTTGGGCTGTTAGTCTTAATCGGTACGGTAGTTGACATAATACACAAAGTTCAATTAAATTCGATGGACAACATAAATGCAAATATCAATGAGTACAACTATATGACTGATGATACCAGTACAGAGGGAAAATCAATGGTGATGCCTCGCGATTCTCATTTTTCATTGCAGGCACTGCTGAATTCTGAACCGAGATCGATATTTATTGCAGAATTTTCTGCCTTGCGCACCTTGCATCAAATATTTAATATTGAGACAAAGAAAAACGATGATGGCTCATTACCATTTTTGAACGGCGTTCGAGTCTTAGCTCTTTTCTGGGTTATTATTGGCCATTCAATTGTTTTCTCTCTGACCTTCTCCAGTAATCCACTTGATCTTTTGGTCTGGACTCACAATTTAAGTTTTCAATTGATTATCAATGCTGTTTACAGTGTTGACACTTTCTTTGTCTTAAGCGGGTTTTTGACAACGATTATATTCGTTCGACAAGTAAACAGAAAAGGCAAATTGTCCTTCCGTCTCATATTCCTCTACTATCTTCATCGTTATATTCGATTGACTCCGACATTTCTTCTTGTCGTTATGATTAGTATCAATTTGACGCCATACTTTGGTCATGGACCAATCTATCCGATGCAACAAGGCTTCGAAACGACTGGATGCCGAAATGGAACTTGGTGGACATCAATACTCTACATCGGTAATCTTGTTAAGCCGGATGATATGTGTTTACCGATTGCCTGGTATTTACACAATGATATGCAATTTCACTGGGTCGCTCCATTGGCTCTCATACCATTTGTTATGCGACGAAAACCCATAGGTTTCATCGTTGCTATTCTGATGATACTTCTTGGTATCGTATCAACTTTAGCCATTCTTCTTCATTTTTCCGATTTGTCACTGAATGCGGTCGAAGCCTTTATACCTCAAGTAAGTGTTCAAAACTCCTACTAGGCAAGGTCAATGGAATAGTTGTTTTTTTCTCATTCATAGCCCGGTCCAACATTCTTCAAATATATTTACATTAAACCCTGGTGCCGTATTTCGGCCTATGCTGTCGGCATTATCATCGGCTTTTTAGTCATCAATATAGGACGAAAATGTCATATTAATACTTACCTAAAATATATCAGTACCCTTTTAGCCATTCTGATTGGTCTCCTATGTCTGTTTATCACCTATCCGGACTATCTTCATGTACCTGGACTCAGCCGTGCGTCACTCGTCACCTTTCAGACTCTCTCACGGACCGGCTGGGCTCTGTCCATCGGTTGGCTAATCTTCTTGTGCAGTACGAATCAAGGTGGCATCGTCAATAGGATATTGTCCTGGCCAATATGGACCCCATTGGCTCGTCTCAATTATTCTGCGTATCTCATTCATACAACCATCATCAGCATTACTATTACAAATCAAACGATGCCAAGTTACTTTCAACCTCATATTGTTGTAAACACTTTCATTTCGCATATCTTTCTCAGTTATATTGCTGCCATTGTTGTGTATATCTTTTTTGAAACACCATTTTTCCTCATTGAGAAGAAGCTTATTAAACGACCCTAATGAATACAAACAAATCCAATCAAGTTCAAAAATCTTAACGATAAACATAAAGCTCGTGTTCAAATTGAGTTCATATGCTTGATTTCGTTATTTGTCTGCATGAAATAAAGTGAGAATAAGCATGTTTTCATTGATCCATTTCGAATAAACATTTAATGCAAAGATTAATTTTCACCAGTGAATCTAATCTATCAACAACCAGCTTTTTGCAGAAGAAAATCAGCCTTGTCGTTCGATAAATTCTCGTTCAAACGAGATCTATTGAGAAAAATTTACATCAAGCATTCATTCCCGAATAACGGATATCCAACAACAAATAGAAAAAAAGGAGAAATCCACGACTGGTCGACAGCTGGTATCATGAATCATGAACGCATCCGTAATCTCGTTGATAATAATATCAACGAAGTTCTCATTGTTGCCAGTGATTGCCATCGAGCGATGACTGATCTCAGCGAATACAATCATTTCTATGTCAACGATACTCAAATATTTAAGATAGGCCAATAATGCGCTGGCCATATTCGTACTGAAGAATTATAGAAGTATGATGGTATCGCTTTTGCTGTATGCTTCAACACTTAGTAAGAATTGTGCCTCGCAACAAAAGTACGAGTCTTTAACGTGAAATTTCTCTTCAAGAACATGTCATCGAAAAAAGCATAAATATCACAGAAATACTGTGATATTAACAAATCTGTCATTAATCTTCGCCATTTACTCTAGGATTTGCTGCATATTTTTATTATTGCTGATGCTACTGTTGTTGTTTCCTCAATGTAGGATGATAGAAAAGTTTCTTTTCGTTCGTCTCTCTTAAAAGCGTATATTTGATTGCAACTACTCTTCGATATTACTTGGGCATGCTTAAGACTATCGTGTGAAGTTTCGTGCTTTGTTGTATTTTTGTGTTTCTTTGAGACTAGCAACAAAACATTTGCCACGTGAATTTGAATTTTACAAGACGATTTTCAAAGTAGGATTTCGCATGACTAATAAAGTGGCTTAACATACAAGAAAAACTCTGCTCGTTTCGTATGAGATAGTTTAATATTCCGACGTTGTTTACTAACCAATTTACTTCAATAATTTCAATAAAGTAATTTCGTCATTGAAGTTACAGTCTATTCAAGTCTTTCTCCTACCTCTGTAGCCGAAGAAAGTGTTTAAAATGTTCAAGCATAATTTCGACAATAGTTATTTCAAATATTTTTGCTTGTTTCACGTTCTACAATAATTTTTTCTGAAGGAGTACATTTTTTAATCTTTTATTCGAGATAATCAATGCTGATTCTATAAGTACAATACAAAACAAAAAATGTAATCGACAGTTTGACTGTTATAAAATCGTATCTTAATGAGCAATCAGAGCTCGTCAAAATAAAACGATCGATATATGAATCAAGTAAATATTTTCACGAAGCCTAGCTTAACAAAATCGATGCTGCTACGACTTACTAGGCAGCAGTTAGACAATCAATAGTTATTTAGCACAAATTTTCGAACATTATGAGTAGAGGAAACACTACAGACAGATTCATACTTTTGGAATCTGATTCGATCAGTCCAAAACCAGTGAAGGAAATAGATCAAATCACTACTATCAAAATCTGGTCAGATTTCAACATTAGAATTTACAACTAATTAACTGAGTACGAATTCGGTATATGAAGACTAAAAAGGTAACCCTAACTTTTAAAACTGACATTTCTATATATCTATATACATGTAGTTAGCCACGCATATGACATTAGAATGTTTGATCTCAGTGAGTATATATCGAATCAAAGTTTCGGCTTCGTTGATGATTTCATTAGTCAAATTTCCATCGGATTTACTGATCTGAAAAGTACATTGCTGTTCCAAGGCATTACCCTATACAACGACACTCGGATCAGTCTTTGAATATTTTTTCCGAGATTTGATGAAACAAGTTATAGAGTAAGTCATAAAAATGCTGTAGAATTACTCTGAAATAATGAATATAAGTTTAGGTTCGAGTTCTGAAAGCTTTCTACTTTTTTTTAAAATACGTTGTTATTTAGGAATAATTATTGTTATATATGGATTTTCTATTCTCTTTGTTTTTATTTTCTGATGTCATAGGGGAAAGAATTAGATCGCTCACAAGAGTATATTATAGTTTTTGATAAGTGTAAAATTCTAATGTATTTTCAATATTTTAGTCTGATCAGTAACTACGTTGATAAGCTTCTCATATTTTTTTGGAATTCATACAATTTTTTCTTAGAGACAATGATGGATAATATTTTAAAAATCAGCTTTCGTACGTAAATGTTTATTCTTGTAAGTAATTAAATAGTATTATTGATCCGTGAGTTTCTATACAGCAGAAAAATAATTTCTTCAAAGAAAAGTAAGGCAAATTCAAAGGTACTTTGATAGATATGAAAGGCAACTGATATCAAAACCATGTCAGCATCGAAACATTGAAAAAGAGACATGTGAATATTCATCATTGTCTCAGAAGTCTCTCGTGACAGATTGTTCTGTGCAGTAATATCGCCATTAGACAAAACAATGACACCTAGATTATTTTTTTCATTGACGAGCATGAAATGTACCACGCCAGGCATCGAATCTTCATGACCGATGTATCGGCGATTATCATTCATGGTTTGCCAATACCAACCAAGACCAATTTCTATACATTATTGTTGCTTCGTAGAATTACTGGTCATGTCTTCGCTATAAAATGGTACGAGATCGTCGCCAACTGACCTTCGTATTTCGGCAACCGATCAAGGATGAAGAATATTTGAACCATTGCTAAGAAACATCCTAAGATAGGTGGATAGGGAGTGAGTCGACATGCGCTAGAGACCAGCAGGATAATCACTAAATCCAAAATGTGGAATATATAACCAAGTAGGAAGATTATCCTACAGAAAAAAAGTAATGAAGATGAGTCTTAGTAACTATCATGATCGATTTACCGAAATCTGTGTGATATTAACTTCTGGTAATTTTTCTTTTAATTCGAGATAGGATGTATCATATGCATAGGCATTTTATGCTTTACTAAGTCTTCTATGCTTGAAAAATCAGCCAATCGAACGCCAGTTTCGTTGATATCAATACCTAATGATTTTAGAACTCTTGCTTCAACATAATCAATGTAGGACATCTTTGTCACTCGTTCGACAACTAATTCAGCTAGACTGAAGCCCTCATTCGAATAGCAACATACAGTACCTGATGGTTTTGGTAACCTGTTGTACGTGTTTGGATTGATATGTTTGAAACACACATCTGCTAACGATTCAACAAATGCTGTATCACCTTCACGATAATAGCTATTATGTACTTGACGACTAACAGCAATCGACGTCGAATGTGAAAGTAATCTGCGTAGAATTATCGAACGGGAAGGTAATTGTGGATGGAAGATGCATTTCTGTGGCTCTTATCTATATTGATTAACATCTGTATCAAGATCGATGAGTTCTTGCTCGACAAGTTGCATAACAGCAACACCGATGAATGTTTTCGAAGCTGAGGTAAGAGCAAAAATGGATTTATTAATATCTATGGGGTCTTTTGGTGTTAAAGATTGATATCCAAAAGCTTCTTCATAAAGTGTATGGGTTGCATTGACCACTATGATTGCAACACACGGTATATGAACTTTCTCGAGAGATTGTTCTATCCATTGCCGATTTGGACACCTAGAGCTACTGCTCACTGATCCATTGAACGTCAGAGCTAAAGCAAACATCGCTAATAATGAGCTGACCATCATTCGACTACGTTTGATAGAGGAATAGTCCTATTCGTTGTAATACGAAGCTTAAATCTATTTAAAACAGAGAAAGAAATCTTTTTCTTTTTTTAAATCCTGAATATAAAAGAACAAAAGAATGAAAGCGTTTCTTTATCGTCCTCTCTATTATTTTTTATTAAGCCGATTGGTTTCATTGTGGGAGTCAAAACATCGTCAATATTTGAACAACGATAACATATACTTGAGAGAGATTGTTGCAAATATAAGATATTTTTTATTCGACAAGTACTTGAATTAATAATATACCAATGCAGGAATTCGTTGTAATTAATTGCATGGCAATGTGATTTAACTTCAATGATTCTCGCTTTTATTGACAAATCCATCCATTCATAATCATTGCTATTTTCCGCTATGAATTAATACAATAATTCACAACCGATCTAAAAAATACTTCATAAGATAATTCTTAGACAAGATTAAGCGCTGATAACCTATTTTAGTTCATATCAGACTTCAAAATTTAGTGATTTTAGCAAAATAAATTCGATTTAGTGACTAAATCGAATATATTTTTTTATAATCTTGTAGTTCTAATATGAGTGAGGATGAAGATGAGGGTTTTAGGATGTGAGTTTGGAGGCTCAATTGACTCACATCCTCAACCTTCATCTTCTTCTTTTACCAAACAACATTTCAACATTTTTCTGCTCTACTCTATTGGTAAGAATGTTATTAATCGAAAAATAATGATTAAATGTTAATATTAGTGTTCTTCTAGTGGAAAGGCTATGGTAAAATATTCAGCTCTATATCATAACGTTTAACAGAGATATTTATTAAACAAAGATAAAAAATAGCTCATTTGTCAATTCGAACTTGTCTTCTCTGCCAATCCTGATTTTATATATTTAATGTCTTTTTGATGAAAAGAACATTTCAGAAATGTATAACGTAATGGATTCCTATTTTTCTTAATTTTTATGCAGCAAAAAAATTGATAAGTTGAAAGTCTCAGAGAAAACTCTCTGAAACTGGAAGTCTATTTATATGAGTATGTACGTATATATATAATTAATATTTTAGCATTATTAGGCACTTTTTCGGATAAATTTGAAGAAAATAAACACCAAATGCTATATAAACATTTTTAATTTATATACAAAATAAAACATATTTTGTGGCTTGCTGAACTTGATTAAGTAAATAGTTTTATTTTCAATGACGTGAACGTAATGGTCTTTCTTGAAAATGTTATCCAAAAATCAAATTGTCAGTTACCTCAATCACCTTTTTATTAAAAATTATATTCATCATGGGTATTTTGTATGATTATGAAAAGTAAAACCGTAATTATGATTTATAAAAAAAGTATCCAAGAAAAGGAATTAAAATAATGTAGTAAATGGTGAATCGTTATGATACGTGTCGATCATACTAGATTATGCCGCTGTTCTTTCTGTTTCTCATCATCGTCAGATCATTTATGTGTTTTTAAGAACTGTAATGAAATTCATCAAAATGCTCCTACATTTCCTTGGATGTTTATTTTCAATGCAAATCGCTGAAAATCTGCTTTTTTTCCAAAAAAATTCTATTCTTCAACTGGAAAATATCGAAAACAAAGTTGTCAAAAGAATGCAATGCCAATATGAAGATCATATTGTTTGTATTTAAACAAAACTCTGAATATCTTTCCATGAATTTATCCTATTTTTCAATTTTTTTGACGAAACAACTTTAAGAATCAAAGACATATCTGTAAGAAAATCTTTTTTTCAAACCGATCATATTAATTGATTCATGAAGTTTTAACCAACTGATTAAATATTACAAAACGATAAAAAATACTAGTTAAAAATAGTTGGCTGTATTATAAAAACTTGATATTTCTACATGATACTATCGACAATATTTTGCATATGATTGCATGATCTTTCTAAAACAAGTAAGATGCGCTCAATTGAAAACTTTGGGCAGTTTTTTTTACGCATAACTAGATAGTACTTTGAATTATCCAGAGAAAGTGCCTTTCTAGTATTTAAAAAGTTTTAAGCATTAGACTTTATTACACAATATGTCAACTTTTCATGCAATAATTATTATTATTTTGTTCGTTCTGTGCAATTGTACAAATCATTTTTCCGGTTTGTGCTGCAAAATTAAATAGTGCAAAGTAATGTGTAAAATTACCTTCTTTTAGTTAATTTTGTGTCACGAACTGGAAAAAAGTGCTCATAAAAATTGCGTAGAGTGAAAAAAAAAATATATTGATGGTTACATAAAAAACTGACATATTCTGTAATACAAGCTAAAGGCCGAGATTTTTAGAAAGTTTTTTTTTTGTATAAAACCTTGTTTTGACAATTGAAGATGTAATTTTTGAAATAACTCAATACGCTCTATCCAACCGTGTATAAAAGAGTGAAAAATAATCTCTTCAGAATTTTAAATTTGAGCGTATCTTACTAGCAACCCTTCTATCGCATGCATACACTAGACACATAAGTAAAATAAGTATGAAATGCGAGATTTCTTTAAGGATTAAATGTCTTTTTTACATGATTGAATAACCTGGATAGCCATATTTACGAATTCATACGCAAAATTCAATGACCGGAAGATCATTCCTCAAACACAAGGAACTTATTCAAATATCATCGATTGTCTATGGTTATTTGGGACTGAGTAAATTAAGAGGTTTCTTCATTTTAGAATTCCATATCATGTCTTGTATACTAAAAATAACACACAATAATAACACTATACGATGTTCAAAAAATCCAGGCCAATATAAATAATTCTTGATTCAACGTAGTTTCGATAGGTGTATGCACTCTTATCAATGTCATAGTGGCACCAATTTTAATCACCAGTAAATTATAGTTCTCTACAACGATAAAAACAACACTTCAAGTCAAGTGGAATAGAAATACGTCAAAAAATGAATGCATTAAAATAATAATTGAAGTCTTTTGTGAACTAGCTTCGGTAGATATTTTGAAATATCGAAAAATAATCACTAAAGAAAAACTTGATGACGTTCAGAATATTTGTGAACATGTTTCTTGTAGACATTGATCAATGAAAATATTTTAGTTGAAGTTAATCATTTTAAACAGCTATTACATCTAACTTTATATGAAATAAAACTTCAATAAACATCCAATGAAATAACTATTGATACGTTTTTTTTATTTAAAAACATATAGAACATTCTGTATGATGATTATTTCTGAATGGCACGTTTAGTGATATCGACATTTGTATCAGGTATTTTGATTTAATACTAATAATGCTTTTTATTACCTGGAATTACTCTCATATTCATATATGAAGATTTACTCATAGTAATAAATCTACGCGACAGACATTAATAAAAATTTTGATATATATCTGGTAAACAGAAAAAACAATAACTCAATTATGTCATTTTCATCATTCACTATCCAAAATATCCGCAGAGGCTCTAATTGCTTCACGTTTAACAAAAATGACGTTGGAAAATGATTAAAAAAATGTCTATTTAAATTCATAGTAAAAAAAAGAACTAATTTAAATAGAAGTTATATTTCATTAAACAATAATACGACAGATTAAAAGTTAACATTTGTTGTTTTTAAATAAAAGTTTATGTTTACAATAAAAATTACAATAGAAATGATGCAATAGTTCAATAATTAAGAACGTTTACGTAGACGAGGTGGTGGTGCACCAAAACTAAGTCTTTGTCTTATATAATAATGATTATGTCCATATCCAAGACGAGGTTGAAAATGACTTCGTTGTTGTTGACCCCATGCTGTTCCATAATATGAAGATTGTTGATAATAAGAGCTACGTCGACAATATTGAGATTGATTACCACCCATTGTAGATGTAAAATAATAAAGTAGAGATGAAAAAGAATTTATTATATATGCAGCAATAAAAAAAAAAAAGAAAGAGAAAAAAACTATTTTGACGTCATTCTTCTTTTCAGAGGAATACAAAGAGAAAAAATGTGTCTATTGGAAACAAAAAAAACTTTCAAGAAAATTAGGATATTTAAGAAACTTCACGTCAATTAATCAAGAAAATCAATTACTTTTTTTTTCTAAATATCAGGAGCTTTACTATTGTGAACAATTGACATATTACTATTTGTATGTTCTATCTTGGAAATAAATAGATGTGATTAACGTCTCATAAAAGAAAAATATCATGTTGATTAGAAAGTTTTCAGATATGAAAAGTAATTCTAAACGGAAAAACATAGGTTTTATATGACTATTTTCATTGAAATATTATCGATTTTTGATTGACAATATTATTTTCTTATTGGAATTTTTTAGTACCACATGATTTACCAGCTTTTTCTGTGCATTCAACCATAGGAATTAAATTTAAATAAGTATAAGTATATGTCATTTTTTTTCTATTGATCAATTTGTTAACATCTATTTGATTAATTAGATTGTTCTACAGTATTTATATAGAGTTCTGGATATTTTCAATAATGCATTTATCTAAACAAGAATGTATTAATATTGACAGAGCAATCTAATAGGTATGTCACATGAAAAATCTAATTCGATAAGAATACATCCGATTTAAATGTTATCTGGTACTTAGGATTCCAGACTACGCTCTTTCTTTTGTCTAACGGACACTTTCGTCCAAAATGTTTGCAAGTAGGTTTTCTTGAAAACTATGCTTTTTGGACCCATTGGTAAAAAACGAAGAGTGTTTTTCATAAATGAAGAAACGATGTAGGACTTCTAATTATATACCTGTATTCAATAGTGAACAAGGTACACTTTGAATAATTTAGATTTCAAATAACTCAACACTAGACAGGGAGGGAGACCTCGGCCAAATTTCATTCGATAAAGAATTAATACTATACAAACCTAGATAGTTGAGGAATTTCTAAAAATGATTTTATTACCTGGGATTATCCAGAAACCTTTTATCAACCATCTGAACAACGTGTAAAACCTCTATAAAACCTGAATATTTCAACAGAATCACTCAAATGTGCAGTCATTAGATCGATAATATCGAGGTATATATGCGGAAAAAGTTCTGTTTGGTCCAGGTAAGATTAGGCCGCAAAAATAGTGATTTTACTTTTCCGGAGGTTTCCGAGATTCACATTGAAGGTAAATTATGGATTTTGCAAAGGAACTAACTTTAAAAGTTTTTGTAGCTAGTCTAAAGCGTCTGAGTACTTAAACATCATTAGTTATGCTTCAAAAGAATTTTTTAGAAAAAGTTTGAAAATAATTTCTTTTTCGACTACCGTTCTACAATGGGAAAACTTCCAAAAGAAGTAACATCAGAATTTTTCGGTCTAATTTTATCCAGCGCAGATAGAACTTTTTCCGCATCTGCCCTTCGATACCATTGATTTAATGACACCAGATTCGAGTGACTCTGTGAAATCTCAAAGTTTTATAGAGGTCTTACACTTTGTTCAGATGGCCGAGCAAAGGTTTCGGGAAAATCTCAGATAATAAAGTTATTCTTAGGAATTTCTTAACTGTCTGTGTTTGTTTAGCCTTCAATTCTCTATCCAGGGGCGGCGCGAGCGGGGGGGGGGTGGGGGGTACCCCCCTCCTGCTTTTGAAAATTTTCGTTTTTTTTGCTCAACAATACCTCAAAATTTGAGTTTTTTTCATATTTTCTCCCATTTTTCGAAAGTACCCCCCCCCAGAACATTTCTTCCTCAGATTTTCTCCGATTTTTCGAAGGTACCCCCCCTGCTTTGACCTCTTCGCGCCGCCCCTGTCTCTATCGAATGGCGTTTGACTGAGGTCTCCATCACTTTCCAATGTAGAGTTATTCGATGTTTAAAAACGTTCACATGTTAAAAGTAAAATTAAATTTAAAAATCTAAATTAAGAGTTGAACACTCGATTTTTATTCAAAGTGTAACTTGTTCTCTGCTGAATATAGCCATATAATGTGAGGTGCTACATCGTTTCTTCATTTTTGCAAAACATCCTTCTTTTCTGATCGGTAGATGGGTTCAAAAATCATCATTTTCAAGAAAACCTACTGGCAAGCATTTTGGACGAAAGTGTTTGCTAGACCAAAGAAAGAGCATGTTCTGCATTTTTTAAGTATCACATAGCGTTTAAATCGGATATACTCTTATCCAGTTAAATTTTCCATGGGACACGCCGATTGGTGCTCAACAGCTCAATCCTGACTTGTACTTCTCATTAGACTTCATGAAATACTGTCTAATATTGGAATATTCAAATTACACTTGCATGCATTCCAATGTTGAGTACTAGAGGATGTTCCAAAAGTTTCGACCACTCTCTGCAAATTGACGTTATTTGTATCAAATATATTTATAGGTAGTTAATTGAAATATACAGTTTTGTAGAGAAGGAGAAGAACTATCATCTGAAAAAAATGATTGAAACTGTGTCATAGTTTTGAAAAGTTATAATCATTTTATTCATGATGACTGAGCATTTTACATCTTACATTGTTTTCAAAAACAAAATATGCTTGTAACGTCTGCAACGAAATATTGTTTTCTAGATATTTTTATCTAGTTCGGCAGAGTTTGATGAGCTCTACAAGAATGTGGATGTCGAAAAATTCCAATACTGTTTCCAATACAAAACTTGGAAGAAATTAGAAGTATCAATATAAATCTCCACATATCTGGCATTGGAGAGCGTATGCTGAATTTTCAATAAGTTTAGCGGATCAATCGTTCCGTCTGTTCATCATAAAGCTTGAAACGATTTTTTTCAGCTGCAATATGTGACATTGTATTGTGAAACAAATAAATAGTCGATCAGCTAAAATTATTGAAAGTCAAGCATATTCTTTAATTGCAAGATAAGTAATTTTATTGATCTTTCTGATTTCTTTCAAGTTTTGTGTTGGAAAAAGGACCAGAATTTTTCTATTAATATTTATATTCTTGTAGAGCTTTTTGCCCTCTATCGAAGTATATAAATATTTCTAGTGAAAACATGTAGAAAATAATGTTTCAAATAGACTTTAATGGCTCAAACATTAACGAATTTGTTTGTTTTTGAAAAAATGTAAGACGTAAAATGCTCAGTAATCATGAATAAAATGGTCCCAACTTTTCAAAACTATGACACAGTTTCAATAATTTTTTTTCAGATGATAGCTCTTCTCCTTCTCTACAAAACTGTATATTTCAATTAACTATCTATAAATATATTTGATATAGATAACGTCAATTTACAGAGAGGGGTCGAAACTTTTGGGACACCCTTTAGTTTTAAATCTAGCATTTTCATTAGCAGCACCTTTCTTTGAAACTCAAAAGCTTTGAATTCATACATCATTTTGCACTAAGACACATAGGATAACCTAGAAAAGTGAATCCTATCATATAGTTGCAATTGAATTAAGCCCATTCTTCAATTTTCTCACAGCTTAATCTGTTTGCTTTTGTTTTTCTTCAGAAAATTTTGTTTTTATGCAGAACCATCTCTATTTCTAGCTCTTATAATTACAGCTTGAGTGTTGCTTCATCGTTCAAGGTAAAGTGGCATCGAGCTTTCTGTAAAATCTATATTCTTCTGAAATTGTTTGATAACTGAAATGTCATGAACGATCCAAAACAATCCTACATTTTCTACTAATCATGCTCAAACCCCGGCTAAAAGAGACCCGCCTGACAAACTCTACAGATCTGTAAACAGCGATATTTTACCGATTTACTACTTTGAAAATAGCCCTTGTAGCTCACTTAGGTTCAGGAAAAGTGAAGATGTTACGTCTTTTTCAATCAGTATAAAAAATATTAATTTGCATTGATGAGTGCTTAGTTATCGTTCCCGACAATGTTGGTGATGCTAAACATTGATCAGGCAAGATAATAGTCCACTAGGCTAATTAACGTATTGCAAACCATGAACAAAGATAATTCATGTGATTTGAGTTGTGCAGAAGATCTCACTAGTAGATGAGTACTTGTATATCTGCTGCTTGCTATATGAAAGATCAGTATTTTAGTTGTTTATGACACTGCTGTATTCTTTTATATGTCGCGATTGTTATTTAACATAAAGATTTGTTTACTGCACCGTTGTAGTTCTGACACTAGCTTCAACTATCACGAAGAAATTCAGTATGTATATGTTAAGCAAGGAAAGAAAATTCCAAGCATCGTTCACATTTCTTTTTCTCTAGTATTTATTATTATAATTACTGTACTAATAAGTTAATATTATTTGTGCATGCCATTTATCCTCAATCCAGTTTCTTCATTGATCATCTTGTGCCTTTCAACCGTAGAAAATCTACTTTTTTATCCAATAAAAATATTACTTTTACTGTAGACTCTTTGAGTGTGATTATGGTCTGGGTGTTTGTCTTTATTCACACTACATCCTCCCACATTCACATTCAAACCGTACAAAAAAAATATTTATTCTTCGATAAAATTCAACCAATGATTCAATGTCGCCATGTCCACATTATTCGGAAAAAGTTCTGACGAAAAATACTCATTGCAGAAAAACAAAAAGAAATACTTACTGACTGCATAAACATATGCATACTACCATATCTAATTACCTGTACGTGTTTCGTTAAAGTAAGAGAGCTGACGAAAGTATGCTATTTGTTCTCTTTTCACATATTAATTAAACGTAACATTCGTTTCGTACGAGACGAGAAAAAAACGTAATGTACAGGCTATTCTCTCTGACTGCTTGCTTTTTTCAATAAAGTGAAAGAAAAGCAATCTATGCATCAGTGATCACTATTATAAAAGAGAGTGATAAGCATATTTCTCTTTACATTTTTTTTTAGTTTTTTGCATTCATTTGGATTCACAGTTAGTGCATTCACTCTTTCTTTTTGGACTGTAATCACCCATAGA